CATTCGGGCTGGGGACATTTTGCCGGTATTGCCCGTGTCTTTTCACTCAGCCGAACTTCTCAGTTTGGCGGGGGCGGATGTGTTCAGCAGGCTGGTCGGCCCCTTTCAAGCGGTCAGCGTGTCCTCACCCGGCGCGGCGTCGCGCCCGCTGAGCACGACCCCATTCAGTGCTGGTGGTCGATCCAAAGATCTCCGAGCTGGAGCTGGAGGTCCTGGCCCTGGGCTTGTCCCGTTCGGCTCTGTCCGTGGCCGCGCGCGCTGGCCGCGCCCTTCTCGTCGGCCTGCGCGACGGCTAGGCGGCGATTCACGGCGCGGCGCCCTTGGGCGTTGAGGGGCGCCCGCTGGCCTGGAGAGAGCGACGCCAGCGACGCTCTACTTTCCCGCGGGCGAGTTCGCAGCGGGCGTGGGGGAAGACGACGCCGACGTCGAGGGGCGCCGCCCCCTCCCCGCGCAAGCGACGCCGCTGCCAGCGGCGCCTCCGCTGCCGCCGCGGCCCGGTTTCGGCGCCGCGCCGAATCCCTGGCCGAGCGAGGCCCGCCCGCGCGCAAAAGGGGCGATCGCCGAGGGCGCGCCTATGACCCGCGCAGGAGCCCAGTTGGAGATCCACCGGCTGATGGCCGCGAATGCGGCCCAGTCGGTGGCTCCGCCTCCAGGCGCGCGCCCAATCGCGCTTGGCGCCCGCGTCGAGGCGCCCCGGGCGTTTTCGGGCGATGCGGCGCGCGTGGGCGCCCTTCAGAGGTGCCTGCAGGCGATGCCGGCGCGCCGGCGCAGTCGCCCCCCTCCCCCCCCCCACTCGGCGCGCCCAGAGCCGCGCCCCGGCGCCCGCGTCGGCGTTGGCGACGTCGCGGGGCAGGAGGGCGCGCGCGGGCGCGCGTCCGCCCCCGCCGCCGCCCTCGGCGCCGCCGCCTTTCCCCGGGGCTGGCCGGGCCCGACGAGGTCGGCGGCGACGTCGGGGAGGGCGTCGCGGAAGACGGGCGTCGCCCGAGCAGCGCCCCAGAATCCAATTTGGAGCCGGCCCGGCGTTGCTGCTATTGTTTGGGCCCCCCAAGCTGTCAGGGCAGCCCGGCGTCGCATCCCCTCTGGGGGACACTCAGCGACCGCATTCATCCTGGTGCCCCCGCCCCTCTCGGGGCAGCGGTCGAGAGGGGGGCCGTCGGGGCCTCGGCGCGCGGGGTCGTCGGTCGCAGGGAGTGGCAGCAAGTGCTGGTGCAGCGCGGGCGAGAGATTTGATCCATCCTGCGGCCGAACCTCGCTCGGGCTCTGGGGGCGGAGCCGTCCGCGGTCGCCCCCATGGCCATGTTCCAGCGCATTCGCGGGCGCGTCCAGCTGGGGGCTCGCCCAGCGACGCGCGAGATGCTCGCCCACTTCGCGTGGCCGAGCGCGGGGCTGCGGCGCGCGTCCGAGAGCGGGGGTGCAGACAGGGTGGGGCGGGAACTCCAATGAGTTGCCAGTGCGCGTTTCTGAGACCCCCGCGCCCCGCTCTTTCCTGCCCCGCGCCCTGCTTCGGGCCATGGTTGCACTTGGCCTGCTGCGGGGCTGGCCTCTCGCGGCGGCCTTGCTGCTGCTGGGTTCCGCAATGTTCCCCCGCCCCGGCGAACGTCTAGTCGCGCGCCCACGTGACCTGTCGCTCCCTAGCGACCGCTTCGAAGCCAGCGGGGGTGCATCCCACGCCGCGAAGGTACCGGGGACCCGTCGCACCTTCACGACGCAGCACGTTCGCTGCTCCGACAGGGCGACGGCGAGGTCCCATGGAATTTGCGTTCCAGCATTTGTGCCCCGCCGATGCGCCATCACCGTTCGGGGACAGCGGCTTCCGCACTCGGTGGACCCATCTGCTTTCGGCTTTGCTCGTTCCGTTGTCCAGCGCGGCCTCTGCGTTGAACCTCGCGCCAGCTTGCCTCCGAGGTTCTGGGGCAACCCACTTCTACGTGGCCACGGAAGACGCCCCTCGCGTCTTCTGGCGCGGCCGTTAGCGGTGGGCCTCCGGCGCCGAGCGCGATCTCCAGGCTGCCGCCGTGTCGTCGACCGGTTTCGCCAGCCCTGCCTTCCTTGCCCCGAGCGCGCGTGGCGTTCTATGCCGCGAATGGCGACACCCTGGCCGCCCCCTTTCTATATTCGGGCCCTCCTGCGCGGTCCGCGGGAATCTCGCCCGCCCGCCCAAGTCTCGTCGCTGCGCAAGGGCTTCGAGCGTGGGCATAATGGCTGCATGAACGTGGCCGTCGGCAGGTTCAGCCATCGCAGCGGCGCAGCGCGGCCCGCGCGCGCCCGCCGGGGCCTGGCCTCTCGGCGCCCCGCCCGCGCTCGCCGGCTGTGGCGATGCTTTCTCTGCTTCTCTCTGCCCGCGCGCGCGTCGCGGTCGTTTGCGGCTGCTTCGGCCCCCGCCCTCCGCCCCCCCCTCTGACTGTCCTTCCTCGTCCGAAGTCAGCGCCGCTAAATGTGCCCGTCGACGCGCAGGGGGGCATCTCCATGTGAGCGGCACCGCGCGGCCCGCGCGCGCAGGCAGGGGCCCTGCCGTTTCGGGCCCCGCCCGCGCGCGCCGGCCGCGGCGTCCGCCCGACGCCCCCTGGCCAGCGCGGAGCGGCAGAATTTGCGGGCCCTGAGATCTGACGCGGCGAACAAATTGCAACATCGGATGACATCACGCCCGGAGCCCTAGACGCCATCTTGCTGCGTCGCGTCTCGAACCATGTCGATGTGCGAGAGTCCTGGGTCCTGGGGCCCGAAGAATTAGCGAAGACGCCTGGTTCGGACAAATTGAGACGCCAGGGTCTCAGGGGTCACCGATGCCTCGTTTCCTTCGTCCAGGGGGGCGGGGTCAGACGGGGTTAGGACGACTGCGGATCCATTCCAGAGCGTCCCGGAACGCTATGAGAAGGCCGCGGCGCCCGATACCTCCTCCAGATCCGCGGGGCCTCAGAGATTGTCCCAATCAGTGCTTAGAAGGGGTCCTAGCGGACATAGAAAAGATGGGCGAAAGTGGTTGGCCGATTTCGGTGGGCGGTTCTCGGTGGGCGGCTTTCGGTGAGCGCCCCCTCCAGAGATTGGCGAAAGTGGCCGGCCGATTTCGGCGGCTGCCTGTCGGTGGGCGCCCCCTCTCCATCTCTTTCTCTCTTTCTCTCTCTCTCTCTCTCTCTCTCTTTCTTCCTGTCTCTCTTTTGTAATCCGTAAGGGCTTCGCCCCCTGCCGCCGGCCCCCTCTCTCGGAGAATGGGCCATGGAAGAGCTAAGTCATGAGGCTTTGGCGCTGTCGCGCAGCAGTATCGGAACTTCATGCGAGGCCGATTCGCAATCGGCAAAACCAACTGATAACAAGAGGGGTTACCACACAGGGCGATTGGTAAAACGTGTATGGTTTACGAGCTTGGTTACCACACCTTGGGATTAGAGGGCCGAGGGAGTACTCGCAGTTTGGGTTACCACGCCTTGCGATGGATGTCCGTGAGGGGTGGCACCGAATTTCAGAAATGTGGCAAATCCCATGTGTTTTGGGACCCTGACCCCGCGGATCTGCGTGAGGGGTGGCACCAAATTTCAGAAATGTGGCAAATCCAATGTGTTTCTGGACCCTGACCCCGCGGATGTGCGGGGTGGCACCGAATTTCAGAAATGTGGCAAATCCAATGTGTTTTTGGGCCCTGACCCCGCGGATCTGTGTGAGGGGTGGCACCGAATTTCAGAAATGTAGCAAATCCCTTGTGTTTTTGGACCGTGACCCCGCGGATCTGCGTGAGGGGTGGCACCGAATTTCAGAAATGTGGCAAATCCCTGTGTTTTTGGACCCTGACCCCGCGGATCTGCGTGAGGGGTGGCACCGAATTTCAGAAATGTAGCAAATCCCTTGTGTTTTTGGACCCTGACCCCGCGGATCTGCGTGAGGGGTGGCACCGAATTTCAGAAATGTGGCAAATCCCTTGTGTTTTTGGACCCTGACCCCGCGGATCTGCGTGAGGGGTGGCACCGAATTTCAGAAATGTGGCAAATCCCATGTGTTTTTGGACCCTGACCCCGCGGATCTGCGTGAGGGGTGGCACCGAATTTCAGAAATGTGGCAAATCCCATGTGTTTTTGGACCCTGACCCCGCGGATCTGCGTGAGGGGTGGCACCGAATTTCAGAAATGTGGCAAATCCCCTGTGTTTTTGGACCCTGACCCCGCGGATCTGCGTGAGGGGTGTCGATTTCGAGCCCCCCCAGCAATTCAGACAACGCGCCCAGGGGGTGCTAAAAAATTCTGTTTGGGCCTCCCCCCCCCTCGCGCGGTCAATCAACTAGTTACAGTAACCAGCAAGAAGCAGAACTGTAACACTGGAAACTACAAGCTACAACTGGTACTGGAAACTGCGAACCCACTGGAAGCTACAACTGTAACACTGGAAACAACAAGCTACAGCCTGGTGGCCCCACAAGGGGGCCGGCGGATTCGTTTTGTTGTTTTTCCCCCCCTCTCTTTCTTTCTCTCTCTCTCTCTCTGTCTCTCTCTCTGTCTCTCTCTCTCTCTCTCTGTAACTTTCTTTTTTTGCTCATTTGTCTTTGTTCTCTCTCTCTCTCTCTATCTGCGTCTCTCTCTTTTCTTCTTTTGTTTGATGGTGTTTTTTTCCCCGGGCCGTTGTGGGGGCGTGTTGTGGCCCTCTTGAGTCGTCGAGGGCCCTCTCAGGCCGACGAGGGTACCTCTGGAGGCCCACGTGGGTCATTTTGGGTATTTCGTGCGCCGTCCCGGGGCAACATTCAAGACCTCCTTGGCCATTTCGAGCCGACGGATGCCCGAAGTAGCGAAGATGCCACAACCCTCCCAACAGACCCGGGCAATCGATGCGTTAGCCTCCTAGAACCCTCTTTCGAAATTGCGGCCGGCATGGTGCTTGGAGAAACCTTCGGACCATCCATTGATTGGGTTATTTCTCCGGTAAAATTCTCTATGTGTCCCCACCCGAATGTTATCCGTCCTGGTTTCGTCCTTCGGGGGGGCGATCCGCCCCTACCTTGCGGTTCTGGCGGGCCACAGGTGCTGCTTTCGCCAGTTCCGTCGTGCAGGTCGGACGGCCGGGACCAAACGAGTGCAGGAGGGGGCCAGAACAAAAGTTGTGGTTGGGCAGAACACCTGCGTACAGCCGGCATCGATAGTAGGGATGGGTGCGCGTCGGTCGTTAAACGTATGTATTTAGGGATCCCCAGATCCCAATGTACTCCCAGGCGCCTTCCTACTTCAAGAGGCTAGCGGTTTTCCCTATTCCCTCCTCTGCAGGGTGCGGCGGAGACACAATTTATTTCCAACGCCCTCCTACTTCATGCTTTTACCCGCTCCTTTGCATCCTTGCCTTTTCGGTCCACCTTAAGCATTTTCAAAGGCCAACCCCGCTCGAAACGCCTCGACATGGGCGTCCAAGGCCCCGCATTCTTTTAGCGCATCCTTGCTATCTGTTTCGACTGTAATCGTATTTTTCCTATTTTCGGAGATCCGTGTGGATTTCTTGGATCGGTGCTGCCCCCCCCCCTCCCCCCCTGGCGCGCTCCGCGCGCCAAGCGGGAGTTCGACCGCCGATCCAGGAGTCCGCTCGTCTCCTCCCTCGGGGGTCCGAAGTGGTTCACCGCGACTTCCGCAGGGCCCCACCGACGCCGACCCAGCCGAGGAGGGAGCCCCGCATGCCGATCCCGCCCAGCGGACACGAAGGCTCCCAGGAGGAGGAGGGGGAGGCGGAGGAGGAGGAGGAGGAGGAGGAGGAGGAGGAGGAGGAGAAGGAGGATGATGAGGAGGACTAGGAAACAGGAGGAGAAGGAGGAAGACTAGGAGGAAGAGGACGAGGAAATAGAGAAGGTGGAGGCGGAAATTGCTCTTGTTCGATGAGCTCAATGGTGCTTTAGATAGCAGGGGCGGTGCGGATGGGCTCAGAGGATTGCGTCGCATCGCCGGTGCATCAGCGATGCGGCGGTGCGATCGGCAGCCTGGCTTCTCATGTTTTCCATCTCGACATCCAGTATGCGCGGGGGGGCAAGGCGGTGCGATCCTCCGGTTCCATCTGCTCTGGTCAAATTTTGGAGACCTAAATACGCGTGCATTGGTGTGTCGCGTTGGGGGGCCCATATGAACGGGCTGGCCTGCGCGGAGTGGATCGCGTGGGAATGGCTTCCACCCGCGCGCTCGGGACGGGGGGCAGGGCGTCGGGTGAGGCCGTCGCACGGGGAGGCACGGAGGGATGCTGTCTGAACAGTGCGGGGTGATGAGGTGCCTTTGTGTTCCAATAGCCGGTGTCGCTCCAAAGGCACCCACGACGATCGATTTTGTCATTTTTCACACCCCAAAGCCCTCACGCGGAGGAGGAGCAGCAGCGGGTGACAGAGGGAGGAGGATGAGGAGCCCCAGCCAGGCGGTTCGAGTCAGCCAGTCCATGGGCTCGATTGGCGCACGGTCCTCAACGGTTTGCTGGCCCGTGCTGTCGTGTTCATGGTTTGGGGGCCCGCTACGGGCCTAACAGACCTGCTAGACATCTTTCCGCGTATTGTTGTTTGTGACGATGGAGGCCTGGGCCCATACCCAAGAAGACAAGTTTGCGTAAACATGAATGCTTGAATCTCCGCGCGGATTCTTTGGATCAGCGTTGGAATGCTCCCTGGCGGCGCCTCCAGCGACGCCGCGTGGCGCGCTCCGCGCGCCAGTGGGCGGGGTGCCAGGCGCCGATGCTATAAATCCGCGCGGACCTCACAAAGTTTCTGCTCATGCTGGTCGTTCGCCCTCTTAACACAATCGACGATTCTTCGGACTTGTGTTGGCCCAATGTGTGTTGACCCCGTCTGGCTCCGCCCATAGCAGGCAGAGCCCGTGCTGGCCTTCGTTATACCGGTTGCTTGCCTTCGTCCAGCTCCCGCCTCTCCGACTCCAGCTCCCATCCCGCCTCCCCGACCCCAGCTCCGATTTTAGCTCCCGTCTTTGACTCTGGCTCACGATCCTGATTTTTCATGCTGGCGGAATGGTTGAAGGTATTCTGCAGGTTTTGGTCCCTTCACATCTCTCCGACTCAGGCTCCGACTCCGACTCTGCATGGGACACGCGTCTTTGTCCAGCAAGTGCAATAAGCGGGCCCCGGCCCACCCGCGCTGTCCCCAAGGGGCCTGCTGGCCGACTGGCCGGCGAACTCGGCGCGGTCGTTCGTTCGCTCGTTTTCAAGAGCTTCGATGACAAGCACACGTTGGCTCTAACACGCGTTCTGAGGATCATCAAGAAAGAAAAACCTGACAGGCCAGCCACTCCCATCGCCGCCGCTGCCCCGTGCCTCCCCCCCGGCGGCCTCGCCGCAAGCCCGTGCCGCCTCGCCGGGCAGCTGCGCCTTGCCGCGGAGGGCGGCTGGGGTGCCGGCGCTGGTGCGCTGCGCAGATCTCGCAGGCGGTGGCCGATCGGAAGCCCATCGTCTCGAACGAGATGGGCAGTGATTCCTGTCCTTTTTGAACAGGTCTCGCTGTCGGCGTCGCCGCGGACGTCTCCATTCGAGGCAAAAGTTCACCTGCCCAACAGCGGCCGCTGTCGGTTTTGGACAACGTTTGCTTGGGCATGGCACTCATTCGACGTACCCATTGTTGTCAGCACCCGTTCTGGGCGTCCAAAGCCCAGACCTCCGCCGCGACGAGATCGCATCGGCGCGTTTTTGGTCCCGCGGGTTCGCCGTCGTGCAGTCCCTTCTCTTCGGCGTGGGGCAAGCGGTTCCTGAGGGGCTAATGGGTCCTGAGGTTTTCCTGGTCTTCGGGCTCGGGAGGCGCTCCCAGGGCCCCGGGATTTGTCAGAAGGCACGTCGCGATGAAGGGTTAGTCCCCTGGGAAGGCCCCAGGGTCCATGACCCGCTTCCCACAGGACTCAGGACCCGTCTGTGTCTTGCCAAATGTCTTAGCCCTGGCGGCCTGCACCAACGCAGACGTCCGCTCGAACCGGTCTTGCGGGACGGGGGGCTCTTGCCATAACAAGCACACGGCGTCGCAGGTTTTGGGACGGACTCTCTGACTCGCCGCCTGACTGTTTTGAACCGATTTGGACGATGCTGAGCATCAGCACCCTGCATCCGACCAGCTCGGAAGTCCATTCACATTCCCATTCGTTAGGCCCTGCGATTTGAGACATGATTCTGGCATGCTTGTGGCAGTTTTGCTCTGCTTCTGGCGGCCGCGTTCTGTTCATACTCCGCTTATGGCAGCTTTGCTCTGCGCGCGAGGGAATCTCACTACGCGATTCAGTGGGAGTGGGCCTCCAAGATGGAGTTTTTGGGTCGGGCCGAATGTCCAGACTCGTCCTAGCCGTTTCGATCGGTCAGGCGATGCGCTGGCGCCCAGCAGCTTTGACGCCCAGGACGGGCGACCAGAAACGCCCCCTGCCCCCCCCCCTCGAGGAGCAGGTTCGAGGGAGGACGTGGGCGTGGCCAAGGTCGACGAAACAACACGATCGTGTTTTTATTCATTGTTTTGCGGATCGGCGTGGGCCCTCGCACTCTCCCCCATGGAGTGGATCTTGGCTGTCTTTGGCTCCTGTCCCAAGCAGGTGGAGTTTTCTTTATAGGACGCACTTATGCAAGCAGAGGTCCAGAGCCAGACCTCCCCCCTCCCCCCTGGCCAATTTCGAAACGCGGAATAAGAACAAACACGTTCATTTCCAGATGCAGTTGTGAGTATCACGTTGTTGGCGCCGCTTTCGGTGGAGCCCCCTAGGGGGCCACGAAGAGTGTGAGGGGTGTGCCGAAATGGGCGGGGAACGGCATGGGGTGTGCCAAGATGGATGAGGAATCGCATGTTGACCTTCTCACTGGGGCCCTCAATGGAGCCCCATCTGGGTCAACGAAGCGTGTCAGGGGTGTGCCAAAATAAACGGGGAACACCCTGCTGTTGGAGCTTTCGGAGGTGCTTCTTTTGGGGCCACGAAGCCTGTGAAAGTGTGTCGAAAGGACCCTCCCACTGGCGCATTCGGTGGAACTCCCTATGGGGCCACGAAGCGGACGAGGGGTGTGTCAAAACGAAGCGGGAAACGCATGTTGGCCCTGTCTTTGGGCCTTCCGATGGAGCTCCCGATGGTGCCGCGAAGCGTGTTGGCAGTTCGGTGCGGTCGTTTAGAATGGAAGATTAGAGGGTGAGTGGACAGATGAAGAGGGACGGGCACGCTCAAGCCTTTTTGGCTCGCAGCGCGCGAGCCTCTCGCATAGAACGGAGGAGGGCACTGCCCTCGGGGGATGCCATACCCATGGCGGCCCCGTCCCGCGGCGGGCGCCTCACAGGCGCCGGCGCCAGCGCCCCCCGCGCCTGCAGCCTCCCGCGTGGAGGCCACAGAGGAGCGGGACTACGCGTACGACGACTTGGGCCACCTGGTGGCCGCGGGCTTCCTGGGCCTCATCGGGAGGCTGGACGAGTTCGACGACGTGGTTGCGCTGGTCGCGATGCCGGATGGCCTCGCGGGCCCGTCGGCTGCTGAACTCGCTCGGGGAGGCGAGGTGGCGATGTACATCTGCGAGGACATGGAGCCAGAGCCTGAAGCCGCAGCCCCACCACCTGAGGCGCCAGGAGCGCCAAAGGCAGCCCAGCGGCACGTCGTGTCCTACGAGTACTGGGTATTACTACGGGGTAGAGTCGGGCACGCTTCGCCCCGTCGCGGACCAGCCCGACCGCCGTGCCACGCCAGACGACGAGGACGACGAGGGCGATGGCAAGGACGAGGGCGCGGAGGACGACGGCCATGAAGAGATGGGAGGGCCGCCGGCCTCGAGCCCAGCGCCGCCGGCTGGCTTCCAGCCTGGAGGGCCGTCCCCGCCCCGCCCGCGGCGAGTTGGAGCGCCATGCTGTGGGCCCGCTTGGGCCGCGCGGCTGCCGCAGCCACCCCCGCGGCAGGCCTCCTCGGGACCCCGCTCCGCCAGGCGTGGGGAATCGCGTTCGGGGAGTGCGCGCCGGTCGTCTGGACCTCGGTCTTGGTGGCCTTGGGATGCCTCTGCATATCGATCGGGGGTCGGGGCTGTCTGGACTTCGCCGTCGCAGTCGACGCTCTCTTGACCAGCCCAATTCGGGCGTGCCTCGAGTGCCGAGGGCGCCGCTGCCGCCCGCCCCCCGCCCTCCCTGGGCCGCCCCCGTCGCCGCCGCCAGAGCTGTTCGGGCATGGGGCTTTGTTTTTGGCGACGACGCGAGGTGCGGCGATGCGCGGGCCCGAGGGGCCAATGGCCACCCTCGTCACTTCATCTTAGTCGTGGAGGGGCGGGCCGCGCGCATCGGCTGAAGGCCTCGGCGCGCGCGTCGGGCCCCGTCTACGACTGCGAGACGGCCTGGGGACCAACGTCAGGTCGACGCCTCTGGCGCTATTTGGAGGAGGCCCCACGCTAAGAGGCCCCATTTGCGCCGCGAGGCACCGCGCAGGGACTTGGGCGAGCACGCGCTGCGCCCTGGCACCTGCCACCACGCGGGCGCAGACGAGCTGGTCGAGCTGAGCCAGCTAGCCGCCCCGGGCCGGGCCGAGGGCAGCAGCCGAGGCCGGTCGCCCAGGCGGCGGGTCGGCTCATGGGGGCTGCGGGGCGGGGCGGCGGTTTGGGGCCTGCGGTGCGCGGGTGTCTGGTCAGCAGCTGCGGCTGCGCCGGGCGCTTGGGCGCCCGTTGCTGCCGTCGGCGCCGCCGCGCGCGCCGGCGCGGGCCGCCCCCCCCCGCCCGCGCGCGGCGACCTGTCGTAGACGGAGTCCGAGCCTGGGAAGCGCAGCATGTGCTGTCCGACCAAGTCCCCCGCGACTGGGACGGGCGCGCAAGCTGCGCGAGACGCCGCGCCCTTGCTCGGGGAGGGCGCCGCGCTATAAAGAGCGCGCTCGAGCCCGCGGGTGCGCCAGAGGCCCGCCAGCGCTACAGCCGCGCCTGCCTCCGCCGCGCGGCGCGGCGCGGGTCGTCTGCCGCCGCTTCGGCGACGTAGTCGACAATGGGGCCCGCTGCTGCGCCGACCGCGCCGCTGGCGCTCGGCCCGCGGCCCGCCGCTGCCGCCCCTGCCCGCGCCCCCCCCTTCGGGGCTCGGCGCGCGGCCAGCCGGGCGACCGCGTCGAGCCGCCGAGGCGTCGAGGAGCCCGTGGCTCAGATGAGCGAGCTCCACCCCTGCCTGCAGAGCAGGGCGAGGGGTGCGTCGCGCTGGCCGCGAGCCGTGGCGACGAGCAGGTCTACTGTCTACTGCGCCTGCGGGGCCGCGCTGGTCTTCCCGCGTCGCCCTCGGCTCGGGCGGGGCGGCCAGCGGCTGCCCGCGCTCGACTGGGCGGCGGATGTGCCGCGCGCGGTGGGCCCCCTCTCCAGCGGCCGCAGAATGGGGCGCGCCAGGCTCGGCCCCCTGCAGATGCGCGAGAAGCTGGGCCGCTTGGAGCACGCGCTTGCGAGCCCTCAGGGCTGGAGGAGCAGACTGGCGACGCCGCGGAGTTCCAGCGGCTGTCGAGGGCCTGCCCCGCCGATTGCGAGAGCCGACGCAGCGGCCCGAGGGCCAGCCGCCGATCCGAAGGGTCGGGGCCCTCCGCGAGCGACGACCTGATGGACCTGCCGCGGGGCCATCGGCCAGAGCACGAGGCTCTGGGCAGGGGGGCCCTGCGCGCCCTCATCTCCCAGGAGGCGCGCCGACGCATCTCGAGCCGAGCGGCCTTGGCGCAGGAGTTCCTGAAGGAGCGGCGGTTGCAGAGGCCGGACATCGACGCAGCTGAGCGGTTCCTGTGCAAGCGCGGGTGGGCTTGGCCGCCGACGCGACGATCGCGGGCGCGATGCCGCGCGGCGCCGGGCTAGATGGCCCTGCGCCGTTGCCCGGCGCGGAGGCCAGTTCGGGGCGCGCCCCGGCGGCAGCGCCAGTGGCCGGGGGCAGCCCCGCAGCCGCGCCCGCAGACGGGGGAGTCGGCCCCCCCGAGGGCGGCGGGAGCGGCCCCGCCAGCTCCCGCGCCGGGAGCTACGGCGGGCAAGGAGAGCCAGACGTCGATCAGCCAGTGCCGGGCGCCTAGCGCGGCGGGGCTGGAGGCGCCCGCGGCCGCGGCGCCGGCGGCGCGCGCCGCGCCGCCCGGCGCCGGACCAGAGGCCGCCAGCGGCCAGCGGAGGAGAGTCGGGCGCCCACCATCCAGCGCCGGGCACTTAACGCAGTGGGGCAGCTCGCGGCCGAGAGGGGTCCTCTCTCTCTCTCTCTCTCTCTCTCTCTCTCTCTCTCTCTCTCTCTCTCTCTCTCTCTCTCTCTCTCTCTCTCTCTCTCTCTCCTCTCTCTCTCTCTCTCTCTCTCTCTCTCTCGTCTCTCTCTCTCTCTCTTCTCTCTCTCTCTCCTCTCTCTCTCTCTCTCTCTCTCTCTCTCTCTCTCTCTCTCTCTCTCTCTCTCTCTCTTCTCTCTCTCTCTCTCTCTCTCTCTCTCTCTCTCTCTCTCTCTCTCTCTCTCTCTCTCTCTCTCTCTCTCTCTCTCCTCTCTCTCTCTCTCTCTCTCTCTCTCTCTCTCTCCTCTCCCTCTCTCTCGCTTCCTCTCTCTCTCTCTCTCTCTCTCTTTCTTTCTCTCTCTCTCTCTCTCTCTCTCTCTCTCTCTCTCTCTCTAGTCTCGGCTCGAGAGTGCTCTGCGCTCAGACCGCAGCCACGACGCGAAGCGCCCCGCCTCGGAGTCAGACCCCCAGGCCTCGCGAGACCGGAGGGGTCCCAGCAGGACCCTACTGATTCGCGTCACCTCTCCGCACCAGAGTGCCCGCAGCAATGGCCTCCAAGAAGCCGGAGCGCCGTCGCTCTTCAAAGCTGCCTCCGAGCTCCCGCCCCACGCGCCCTGCTGCTGAAGGGCCCCTCCTTCAACGCAAGCAGGACTGCATCGCTGCGTTCAGGCAAGCGGGGTCTGACCGCCCCACGGCCGCCTATAACGGGCTGGCCGAACTGAACGCGGACGAGCTCCAGGCAAAGTACGACATGCACAAGTCCAACACGAAGAAGCTTGGCAGCGCCCTTATCCGCATGTGCGCCGCCAGCCAGATCAGCTACACGCTCGACCACTACCAGCGCAGCAAGCCTAAGCGCACTGGCGGTGACACATCGCACCCACCATTGGGCTCCGCACGTCTTCAGGCTGCGGACACCCAATTCATTGCCTTGGACCCTGCCTTTTGGAAGGTCCCTGTTCTTGCCGAACCCACCTCGCCTGACGACGGCAAGACGCACAAGCCCAGCATCAGCCTCCACGACTTCGAGAGTGGCGAACGGCTGCTGCAACACCACCTCGGGCAGGGCAAGCGAGCCACGGGCCAGCTCGCGATTGTTGTCATGGGCCCGAAAAACGACAACTACGTCGGTACCGAGCTCGCCGTCCCCGTCCTGAAGCGCCACCCCAAGGCGCCCAAAGTGGTCCACACGCACTTCC